CCCCCTTGAGAAAAGCTGGGCAAAGGCCACTCCTCCAGAACTAAGATGAGGCAGCTGAGGCCCAGGTCAGAGCAGGTCAGCAGTAAAATGAGACAAAAACCCAAGCCTTGGACATTTTCCCCGGAACGTCCGCTGGCCTCAGAGGAAGACCAAGGAATGGGGCAAAGCCAACGACACAGCCAGGTGGGCACCGTGCGGCCAGCGAGAGGACCTAGCACCCCTCTACCAAGTGGAGGAACTGCCTGGCCCACGGCACCCCGGGCCACTCTGGGCTCACCTGCGATCACACTGGGCCTGCCCTTAACTCCAAGGCAGGAGCTCTCGGTCTAAGGTAGGAGGTGAAACGTAAGCTCGCGAGCAACAGCGACCACAGATCTGCAGGTCAGGGCGGCTGGAAGGGAGCTGGGCCACGTCTGCTCGGGGCCAGGGCACAGGGAAGGCCAGTGAAGGCCTGGGAGGGAAACAGGAGGCAGGTTGGTGTGGCGGAGCCCTTCTAGGAGGGAGCAGGCCGTGCAAAGGCACGGGGGCACGAGGAGACCAAGCCTGCTGATGGCACAGGGCAGACACCAGAGCTCCAGGGAAGGTCACAGCAGACACCCTACGGAGGTGTGGACGGGCCCTCGAGGCTGCGGGGCCTACAGGAAGGTCGAAGCAGGAGGGCTGATCTGTTGGGAACCCCAAGGGGAGGCCAGGTCATCAAACTGCCCCTCGTGTGGGAGGGGCCCGAGAGATGACCCGCCAGGAGCCCTCCCGCCGCTGCAGCCACCTTGTCCCACCCAAGCTGCTGCGGCAGAGGCCGGGTCGTGTCCAAGTGAAGCATCGCAGGAGAGGTGCATCCTCTACCCACACGGCCCCCAGCAGGACTCGTGAGAAAACTCAGGCTGCATCCCTGGAGCGTCAGGATCCGGGAAGGAGAGGAAGCCCAGCTCAGGTGGGGTCTCACCGGGGATCCGGGTGGGAGAGCCTCCCTCCTCACCCCCTCGGCCTCCGCACGGTCCCGGCAGAAGGCAAGCTAGCCACGTTCCAGCCGCCACGTACGCTTTACCGCCACGCTCCTCGGACACCTGAAGTTAGCGCAGCTGCAGCCCGTTGCCCACAGACGACGCTGCTGCCTGGCACGGCTCTCCCTTCAGAGGGATGGGGCCAAGGGGCAGGCAGGGCTGCCTGCACCAGAGGACACACGCCTACTCCTCGAAAAGCACACCCACGCACACGCCACAGGACATCCTGCGCTCGAGCCAACGTCGCAGCCAGAGGAGCGAGCATGGGTACTAGTGATAAGGGGCTGACTGTCCCCACTGCAGAGCCAAGGCCAGACACCTGTCAGCTCTGCAGGAATCCAGCTCTGAGCACAGCTCGGGAGGACAGGGGAGCTGCTGTTCCACGGCGTCCTGGGCGACATTGGTCGGAACGGATGGCGGCCGGCCAGCCGGCTCTGCTCAGAGGAAAGCCCTCGCTGGGCCACGGGCCCTACCAGGAAGCCCCACTCAGCATCCCTGCAAACGCAGGACGCGCCTCGTCTAGAAACTCGGCACAGAGCCAGTGGGTACGTGGCCGTGCCCTCAGAGCCGAACTTCTGAGCCAGATGGGAGCAAGGGTGTCACACAGCCTGTCCACGCCCGGCCCAACTCCCCCGCACTCACACGGGCACACGCGTGTACACCTCGCGCACGCCCCTCGCCGCCAGCTCCAGCACACAACCCGGTTGCAGGCCAGCACTCAGGGCCCTCCTGCAGGGGACCGGCCGGCCTGTCCCCTTCCCCACCTGCACCGCATCCCAGCTCCTCCAGCAGCCCAGCCTCCAGCTCATCCCCTCGCAGCCCCCAAGCCAAGTTGCCGCACAGCCCCTCGCCCTGTCTCCTGGACAAGCTCCAGACGCCAGCTTCCTTGTAACCAACTCCGACGTTTGGATTGCAGGTCTGATGCCCAGTCTTACCTCGCTGCCAGCTCCAGGAAGGCAGGCCGCCCTCTCCCAGGGGGCCTGCGCGGGGTCACCCCAGAGGGGCAGGGTAAGCCGAGTGGCTGCGGTGCTTCAGAGCCCAATGGGCCTCCATTCACAGATGGAAAAACCAAGGCCCAGAGGGGGCGTGAACACAGGGGCTGGGACCCCAGCCTCCGTCCTTGCTTCAGCACCCGCAGCATCAGCTTCCCGGCCCCTGTGGGTGTCCCCGGGGCAGCCGAGCCCACCCCACAGTGGCTGACACCGAGGCAGACACGGAAGCCGCGCAGCAAACGCACACAAGGTTGCGGGGACCCCCCCTCGCCCTGGCCTCGCCCACAGCGCCACCTACCGTCCTGCTGCCCCCGCTCCCTCGAGAGCCCGCGGCCACCAGGACTCAGCCGGCAGAACGCCCCTGTGCCAGGGCCCCCCAAGGCGCATGGGGAGCGCCCCCCTTTCTGGGGAGGTGCGTCTCCCTGCAGACCAGGTGACCTAGCAGGACGAAAGGCTCTGGGCACGCGGGACACCCAGGGATAAAGCGGGTCAGCCATACCGCTCACACTTTGTCCTAGAAGGCGGCGTGCGGGGCGATCCCTGGCCCTGTGTTTGCGGGGTGAGAGCACGAGCGGAAGGTGGAGAGGAGCGGCTGGTGGGGCCACGCTGAGCAGGGGGACGGGGGCGGGGCGTGGGCAACCGCGAGCAAGGAGGGCAGGCTGGTCCAGGCCCTGGCACAGGGCGGCCTTCTCCTGCAGGTGGGGGAGGGAGCATGTCGGGGAAGTGTGGGCCAGGGCCAAAGAGCGAGCTCTCTGCGGGGTCTGGACGTGCCCAGGCGCGGCCGAGCACCCGGACGCAAGGTCCTGGCACTGAGGAGATTCTGCGCCAGACAGAGACACAGGTGACAAAGGAAACGCCCCAGCTGGTCCCTCTGCAGCACTTATTCTTCCCAACATTAACCCATCCGTGCATCTCGTGGGCCCATCCCCCCGCCCCCGCGGGCCACTCAGCACCCCAACAGCGGGCTCCCCAAGAGCACCTGCGCGGTGAGTGAGTGAGTGAAGAAGAGGAGGTCATGGCAGAGACGGGGCCAGGGACACCCCACGAGAGAGGGCAGGAGGCCCCCTGCGGGCACAGCAACAGGGGTGCTGGCGCCAGGTGGGCAGGCAGGGCAGCGCGTCCAGAGATGCCCCAAGAGCTGCGGTCCAGCCCCGGGCAGCCACTCCCCAAACCTGGCTCCACCTGGAGGCCCTGGGGCAGGTCTGAGCTCCCCACAGCCCTCGCCTCCACCCCCCTTCTGCACCAATTTCCACGGGAGGGTCTTCCCCACACGTCCGAACAATGCTGACATCAGCCGGGTGTGCTACAATTCAGCTCAATTCCAACACTCTCTACCTGGCTCGCAGGTCTCTGGAGACCAGCTCGCTCACTAGATGACAGGTGTGTTACGCAGGAAGCTAAAGCATACAGACCCACAGCCAGGTGAGAGGCCGCGCGGCCTCGGCGGGAGGGGGCCTGAGGGGACGGAGGAGCTCTGGGGGGCGGGGGACCGGAGCTCGCTTTGTGGGGAAACATCTTCAGGCCTCCTGGGGAGCTTTGGCCCCTCCTCCCTGAGTGACCCTGACCTGACACAGACCCCAGCCAGAGCTGGTGGCCCGCGCTTCGCCCGCCCCACGGTGATTCTGCTCTCCCCCCACCCTCCCCGCGTCCCACCCAGTGCACCTTCCCCTCCCGCAGCACCAGACAATGAAGGGTAAAGGGTGTGGCAGCTGAAAATCAGGCTTAAATGATGTCCACATCCTGACCTCAGAACTGGTGGAGGTTGCCTGCCCAGCAAAGAGGGGGCTTAGCTTGCGTTCAGGGTCTTGAGATGGGAGTTGTCCTGGGTCGGCGGGGCCCTGACTGCTGTCCCCTCCCCCGTTTCCTTATAGGAGGGAGGCAGGTGGGGGGAAGATGCTGGCCTTGAGGACTGGAGCCGGCTCTCCTGGAGGGGACCCTCCCCTGGAGCTGGGGGGCGGACAGCCCTGCCCGCACCTGGATCTTGACCAGTACTGGTTTCAGGTTTCTGGCCCCCAGAGCCAGGGGAAAATATATTCCTGCTGTTCTAAAGTCCCCAGTCTGTGGTCACAGGAAACCAGCAGGGCGCATGAAAAAGGCCGTGTGTCCATCTCGGAAAGGAGACCAGTCGGTCTGTCGGTAGGGACGGCGTGTTGACTGCAGCCTCTTTGAGATGAGCAGCCTGCCCCCACCCCGCTCTCCCCAGATGAAGAAAAGACCTAACTCATCAACCAGATGCAAACAGGTCCGTTCTGCCCCGGGGACCGAGCGGCCACCTGAGAGGAAGACAGCTCGGAACGGCGTGTGCTAACGCCGAGCCCAGGCTCGTTCAGCAGGCCGCCCTCGAGGTGAGCACAGGACGTCCACGCTCTGCATCGGCAGACGCCTCAGGGGGCGGCCCGGGGAGCACGTCTACCGCCCCTTCCAGCCCACCAGAGATGCTGGACAGCAGCCCAGAAACCCCAAGGGCTTCCCCCACATCCTGACAGGGGAGGGATGTCTCTGAGAAGGGCTGGCAGGAGGGACTGCTCAGAGCCCACTCCCCCCTACCTCCCACCCGGCCAGCCCCCCAGGCCCCCAGCCTCCTCGCGGCCCTGCACCCACAGAAGACCTGGACGCAGACCTGCCTCCCGTTTCACTTGCTGTCAGCTCCTTCCTGCCCCCAGCACCCCTCAGCCCGAGGGCTGCAGACGACCCTGCAGGAAGCCTCGATTAGGAAAAGTGATGATGTTTATGGAGCACACCTGCTGCGGGGAGCTCCTAAGAAGGCGGCTGCCCTGTGTGTGTGGCAGGAGGGGAGCAAAGCCCCGCAGGGACCTGCTGTCCGCTGAGGCCAAGATGTCGTGGGACCCCGCGGTGAGGGGCTTCCCCGGTCCACGTCCTCCCTGGGTGCCGGCCTCGATGGGGAAGCAGGACAATGCTCCCATGCTGGCCAGAGACAGACGAGCAGAGGGAAGAGCCACCCGTCCGTCCATCCATCCCTCTGCACAGCCTGTCCTGGGGCACTTACCACGTTCCAGAAAAGCGGATTGAAAGCGATGGTGAGGACTGCAGCCACAAAGTGGGGTTCTGAGGGGTCCACGTAGCCCAGCAGCCGGGTCATAACGCAGAGGTCTGCCTGCAGGGACAGAGCCAGCGTCAGCGGGAGACCTGCCTGCCCTGCCCCGCCCCACGTGGACAGACACGGGAGCGAGTGACAAGCCCCAGAACTTGGAAACAAAGTTACCCTCCAGAAACAGGTCAGGAGGCTTGGGCACGTCCAAGTCCAGCAAAGGTTACTACAATGTAATCTCATAAAACGGAAGATAAAAGCCGAAACCCAACCGGCCGTGTCATGCCTGTTGGAGAGCGGCCGGGCCAGCGGCAGAAGCACAGAGAGGAAACCAGCAGCTCTGAGGATGAGTGTCCAGCACGCTGGCGGGGCAGTGACCCCGCCGGGACCCATGTCTGCATCACCAGGGTGACCAGGACACAACAGAGGTGTTCAGAGGCCCCAGAGACAACCCGAGGGGCCGACATCCGTGTGAAGATGCTCAGCCTCCGAGACCCAGGAAAATGCAGATGAACTCTTCCCAGGCCCTGGACCGGCGCTCCTGAGTATGGGGGCTCCCAACCCCGGCACCTGCCCCGAGAGCTCACACACCGTGCACAGCTGTTCCTATTGGCAGCCCCTGGACCGGCGCTCCTGGGTATGGGGGCTCCCAACCCCGGCACCTGCCCCGAGAGCTCACACACCGTGCACAGCTGTTCCTATCGGCAAGCATGGAACAGGTGTGAACGCCGGGGGCTCGGGTAAACCAGATACGCTGTCCCCAAAGCAGCTAAACCAGGGAACTGAAACAGACCAGGTCTGTGTCAAACTGCCATGTTCTCAAACACATGTCAAATGGACAAGGACGCTGCAGAAGCCCAGAGCACCCTGTACCCACCACACAGCGCTGAGTGCCCCTCCCGTATGTGCAGAGGGCCAGCTTTGAGCCCCAGATTCATTGCCCCCTGTGACCGGGGCGGGTCTCCCCACCTCCGCGCTGTCGACCCTCCGGCCGGTCACTCTTTGTGGCCCCCACCCACTCCATGCCGGCCGTCCTCCCCAGCTGTGACAAGCGAAAATGGCTCCAGACGTGGCCCAGATGTCCCCGGGGACAGAACTAAGACCCTGCCTCTAGGGACAAGAGGAGGAAACAGCTGGATGCCTCTAATGCTGAGTTCTCCCTTTAAAAACCGTGACACACTGCTGACTTCTGCGTGGTCAGTGTTCACTGAGTCCCTGCATTACTCTTTGTATTTTTCTTTTTCTTTTTAGAAATTCATGGCAGCTCTCCACATGCAATTCAGAATAACAATAAGTCTCAACTGGAAGGTAAGTCACAAGCCTTGGCTTGGGGTGGGGGGGTGTGGAATCCACTCCAGGCGGGCCAGCCGTGCCCAGGGTGCAGAGCTGGGGGGCAGCCGGGTACATAAACCACGCCTCCTGCCAACGGCCCCCAGCCCCGGCCTGGCAACTGAATCACCACATCCAGCTTAGGGCCGCCCACAAAACATGCTTCTCACCAGTTACGGACTCTTATGACAGCAACAAGTCCCACGGGAGTTGATATGGCATTTCTGCAGACAAGGGTGTCATTGTCAGCCAGACTCCCTTTTTTTCTTTTTCTTTTTCTTTTTTTTTTTGCGGCAGGCGGGCCTCTCACTGTTGTGGCCTCTCCCGCTGCGGAGCACAGGCTCCGGACGCGCAGGCTCAGCGGTCATGGTTCACGGGCCCAGCCGCTCCACGGCATGTGGGATCCTCCCGGACCGGGGCACGAACCCGCGTCCCCTGCATCGGCAGCATCAGCAGGCGGGCTCTCAACCACTGCGCCACCAGGGAAGCCCCAAGCTCCAGATATTTTTAAGAATTCCACTGCTCGTCATTCAGCAGACACTGAGCATCCCCGGGAGGCTCCACTCTGGGGGTCTGAGAGCTAAGCCCCTGCAACAAGACCAATGCGCACCTATATAAGTTCTCACACCTCACCTTGGGCCACCACCCAGCAAGACGAGGGCCGCTGTCGTGCCAGCTCAGAGAGAATCAAGCCAGAGGCTCCCAGGGGGCCAGGCCAGGCCAGCGCTTCCAGATTCCAGATTTCAGATTCCGGGTTCAGGCACTGGAGTGAGGATAAGTCCCGAACACTCCCAAGGAGGCCGGGCAAGTGAACGGGAGAGAGACTGCTTCTTCGCCTTTAGGAGAGCAGAGGCGGAGGGGAGGCAGAGCGGTTAAGCAGTGACACTGGCTGAGGTGGCCAGCAGAAGACATCCGGCCCGGGCTCCCTGTTAGGGCTGAACTGGTCAAAACTGGAACCTCGGCCCCCGCCCAGGTCCCAGGGCCCTCGGTCAACCTCTCATCCAGGAAGTATCCGGTCACCTTGAGGGGGTATTTGTGTTGCCCAGAGAAGGGCCCACCGAGCAGGAAAGAATGACAGACAAGTCAGGTGGCAGCAGAGGGCCCCCTCCTGGCTTCCCGCTCCAGAGGCCTGCAGGTCCCGTCCTGGTTGCTGTCACCCCCAAAACCCACTGGAAAGGGTGCCCTCCCGGGTCAGGCAGGAGCAGAGCAGGAGGGTCCCAGACCCCCGTCCCGTCACCCTGTACCCCTGTGGGCCACCTCGACTAAGGGGAGGGGCCCACCGGGGCCCACCCACCCTCTGCCCAACCTGATTAAAGCAGCGGAAGTCCTGGCCTTCTGCTCCCGGTAACCCTAACAATGGAGCCCCCCTCTGGCTCCAAGTCCTGGTGCTGGAACAGAGAGGAGATGGGCTACCTACCGCTGCCCGGGCAGCGCTCCCGCGAGGGGCTCAGCAGCTAGAGCCCGTGCCACTCACCGTGCGAGGGTCAACAGCACCCAGGGTCACATTGTGACATCCAAACAAACAGCAGGGGCCCAGGGAATCAAAGTCACATCGACCGCAGCTGGGACCCATGTACCGCTCACTGCCAGGGGAAGGGGACGGGGTGGGGGCAGCGGGGCGGGCCTCTAGCTGGACCCTCCGTCTCCGGGCCTTCTCGGTGATTCAGGAGACGTCTACCGGGAAACTTCTGCTGCAAGCCCCGAGCCTGGCGCATCCAAGAAGGAGCGGCCACAAAGAAGCTTTATACTAAGGCGGCCACGACCTCATGGCGGGGGCACCAGGCGCAGAAGAAGGTCTCTGGGCAGCGGATAATCCAGGCTGGGCTGGGGGCTCCCCCTCACCCTCCGGGATGGACCACAGGAAGCTCCATGACCCATCTTCGCCCAGGGGGATGAGAGGGGAAAACAGGTGCCAAGATACAAGGGGCAGAGGGTGCTCCCTGTGCGCCTGATGCCAGCGCTACAGACAGATGCTCTCTGGAGGGGCCCTCGGGGAATGCTCCCTTCTTAAGGAACAGCCAGTGAGGGGTGCGGCCCACATGCTGGGATGGGGGCCGAGACAGCACTGAAGACCACCTGAAGGCTCTGCTTTCCTATGATACAGACAGCGGCCAGTGGCTGCCCCAGTGTTCCGAATCCATGACTCCTTCCAGGAAGCTGTTTATTCACAGTCTTCCTCCAATGAGCCTGTCCTGGGCCATGTGCCGCGAGGCTCTGAGGGCCCGTGGGGTCCCGCGTTCATGGGGCAAGGTGGGCCCTTCCTGGGAGTGGGTCTGGGGCCTCCTCTCCTCTGCGGGGGCCGTAAGCCGCAGACCTCTCTCTACATTTGCCCTCAGGGGCCCCGGACAGGCCCTGCTACGCTGGTGCCTAAGGATATTTACCTAAGGACGTTCTGTGTCCAAGGCAGTGGTGACAGGAAGCCAGCTGACCGAGCCCTGGGCCAGGGCTTTGCAGAGGCGACAGAGCCTGTCCTGATACAGGGCCCGATGCCCTGTGGGAACCAGGGTAAACTTTGACGGGGGTGGCCCCTCCTTCCTGGGACCGTCAGGAGGATTAAGTGAGATGATACAGGAAGCTCACTTATTACTCTGTGACTGAGTCCGCCCACAACCCTGTGCCCATTTTTCAGACTAAAAAACTGAGGCTAACACATGAAGCCAAAACAGGTAGGCAGAAAATCGGTGAGGACAAGGTGGGCCAGAGCACCAGCCCCCATAACAGCAGAAGGCTCATCCCTCTCAAGTGCACATAAAAGAAAAAGAAAGAAAAAGTAAAAGTATGTATGTTCTTGAACCATAACAGAATCAAACTAGAAATCAATACCAGAAAGATCCTTGTTAAAGACCACCAGTAGGGGGCTTCCCTGGTGGCGCAGTGCTTAAGAATCCACCTGCCAATGCAGGGGACACGGGTTCGAGCCCTGGTCCGGGAAGATCCCACATGCCACGGAGCAACTAAGCCCTTGCGCCACAACTACCGAGCCTGCGCTCTAGACCCCGTGAGCCGCAACTACTGAGCCTGCGAGCCACAACTACTGAAGCCCGCGCGCCTAGAGCCCGTGCTCCGCAACAAGAGAAGGCACTGCCATGAGAAGCCCGCGCACTGCAACAAAGAGTACCACCCCCCGCTCGCCGCAACTAGAGAAAGCCCACGCGCAGCAACGAAGACCCAATGCAGCCTAAATAAATAAATAAATACAATACAATAAAAATTAAAATAAAATAAAGAACACAAATAGGGACTTCCCTGGTGGTCCAGTGGTAAAGAATCCGCCTTCCAATGCAGGGGATGCAGGTTCGATCCCTGGCCAGGGAGCTAAGATCCCACATGCTGCAGGGCACCTAAAGCCCGCACAACAATTACTGAGTTTGCATGCCTCAACTAGAGAATCCGCGTGCCGCAAACGACAGAGCCCACGCACTCTGAAGCCCACACACCAATATTAGAGAGAGAAGCCCATGTGCCACAACAAAAGATCCCACATACCTCAACGAAGATCCCGCGTGCCACAACTAAGACCCAACGTAGCCAAAACACATAAATATTTGTTTTAAAAAAGAAAAGAACATCCATACTGACAGACGGATGAGTAAAGCCCCACGATCACCTCAACAGAGGAGAAGAAACCGAGGTTCTGCCCGCTTACGTGACTTGCCCAAGGTCTGGACTCTGACTCAAAAACACTGAAGACAAAAATTATGTCCTTGAGAACTTCACACAGTAAGTCGTCCAGAGAAACGGCCTGCTGTTTATTCTAACTAATGTGATAACGCCAGAAGATTTTGGAAAACAACTCAGTGCAGCAGGCAAACATCTCGCCCCGGAAGGCAGCTCCTACCTGCCCCTGGGATTTGCCTCCCAAATGGTCACAGATGAGTCACAAACAGGGACCGTGCAGCCCAAGGGGCCTGTCGCCCAGCATGGTCTCGACGCTGCCTGAACACAGCGGCCTTGCCTTCTGAAGAGCACCCACCCTCAGGTGGGCTGCACTTTACAGCTGACAAAGGTCCCATTTTACAGAGCAGGTAACTGAAGGGCCCCTCTTGACACCTACACCACCCATCGCTCACAAGGGCTGGAGAACCATCTGGAAATGGGCATGAAAGGGGCCCCCCGACTGTGCCCTGGCAGCCTGTGCTCCCAAAGAAGCCGGCACCCCGAGGCCCCACTGGAGCCCTTCAGTCCGGCTCCATCGCCCACCAGCCAGCGGGCTTCACTCAGCTGCCCAGCTGAGGAGCCTGGCTGAGTCCAGGGCAGGGAGAGCCTCGGTCGACGAGGCTGCAGCGGGGATGCGCCTCAGCCCAAGGGGGGACTTTCTAAGCTCAAAACAAAGCCCAGATTCCGCACCAGCTGGAGCAGGCCCAGGAGCTAGTGGTCAAGGGCACCGTGCCCATGGTTGCACGTCAGCACACGTGTGGCTGCTGAGGACGTGCGGTGCCAGGTGATGAAATGACATATTTTACGTATTGGGTCAAATATATTGTCAAGAGTGATTCACCGATTCCTTACTTTTTCAACTGTGGCTACTAGAGGAGTTTAGATTCTCAGCGTGACATATTACCGCCAAGGGACGGCGCGGGGCCAACCCGCTGCCATCATGCAGCTCAGACGCCCGGCTGCAGAGAAACCATCCCGAGGATGACATCTCTCAAAACCAGAGGTTTTCACTGAGGAGGGAGGAGGGCTGCCAAGTAGGACAAATACACAACGTTCAGCGTTGTTGGCAACAGGAAGCTTAACTGCACCAATAAGGGCTGCAGTGGAAAAAGTGGAATGTTAGCCAACGAGGGTCACCCTGACCTGTCCCCTGAAAGGTTCCCAGATCGCTCCAACCGCACAGCCCCACAGGGGAGGGAAGAAGGGCAGAAAAGACCTTCCCCCCAACACCCAGGAAATCTCCCCCTCCCCCGCTGCTAGGTCTAGAACACAGGCCTTGCCTAGACCTGAGGGCAGGACCCTAACCCTGCAGCGGGGCCCACTGCCCCCTTGATTTCCACCAGAAGCCCCGAAGGCTTCCCCACCTCCAGTTAACGGTGCCCCATCCTTCCCCCGTAGGTCTCACCCATGAAACATCCACCCCAAGCCAGGCAATGCCAAGGGTCCCCTTTGACTAGGCTTCTCTTTGTTCTTGAACAAATACTCCTCCTCAAGGCCTTGGTCTGCCAGCCCCCCACCAGAGCACCTGGGCCCCCACCCCCCAGGGCGTATCACTCAGGGCTCAGATCAGGTCACCTCCTTATATAGGGACCGGCTATCTCAGGATCTCAACCCACCTCCCCACTAGCCAGTTTCTAAAGCATTGACCAGTTTTATCTCCGGCAGAGAATTTTCAGTTTCCAGCCTCAGTGGAGTGAATGGTCAGTGAGAGCCGACAAAGAATGCTGCCTGCCATTCCGGTAAACAAGGGAAGTCGCCCCCCATCAAGCCATCGGCTGCTGCTGCCAACCCCACAGTGCACCCTGAGGGGGGATTCAGGATGGAGAAAAACAGGAGACAGGCCCCAGGCAGTTAAGATGCAGATCTGAGGAATAATTTCAAGGAGCCCAGACTCTTGCATCTTCCCACAAATAGAAAAGTGCTAAAATCATGTACAAGATGTCTGCTTTTTTGTGTTTAGCATTAATCTTTTGATGTTCGATGTGGGTTTTTTTCCACCAAAGCTCCTATATATCCTGGCTCCCCCTCAGAGCTACTGAGAGGCTCTTTCCTGGGCTAGAGTCCTCAGTAAGGCCCCCAATAGAACACAACTCGCAACCATTAGGTTGTGCGTTTTTCTTCAGTGGACACCTGCTCTCGATCGGTACCGGCTGTACCAATGAATGGACCACAAAAGGCGGCCTCGGGCAGGGACCTCTTGGGAGCTCCACGGGGAGTGGCTGACGCCGAAAAGGTTAATGTCTTGTCTCAGAGGAGACTCTAAGGGCCGGGGCCAGGGGCCCGGCTGGTCTTCAGAACCAGGTCCCGCCTGGCCCATCCCGGCCCGGCCCGTGCGGGGCTCCGCAGGCCGCGAACTCCCCGCCAGTCCACCCGGGAGGAGCCCTGTCCTCCGGTCTCAGCTCGGGGCGCCTCCTCTCCGGAGCCTAGCGACCCCGTAGGTGCACACGTGTACGCACTCCCACGCGCGGTTACGGGTGCGGACACGCGCACTCGCACTCACACACACGCACCCGCGGCCCCGCCCCGCCCCCGTTGCCTGGTAACGGCGGCACCGCCCGCGGGCGTAGGCGGTGGCACCGCCCGCCGCGGACCCAGCAGCCCTAGCGACCCCCCTCCTGGCCCGGCTGCCGGCGCGGTCGGTACCTTCCTGAAGTCCAAGTTGCCGAGGCCCCCGCAGCAGTCGGGCGCCGCCACCGAGCTGCGCATGGGCCCCGCCCGGCCCGGCCCCATCGGCCGCCGGCCGCCTTGCAGGGACCAAGTGCGCGCCTCGCGGCAGCCCCCAACCGCCAGCACCGGCCCCATCGCGCCCGGGAAGCGCCGCCGGACGCGGCGCTTTCCCGGTGACCGCGCTTCCCCGGCCTTCTGGGAAATGTAGTCCCCGTCCCCGCACAGCGCCGTGCTCCCGGGCTCGCACCGGCCTCTCGCGGAGCCGAGAACTACAAGTCCCAGGGCCGCCCGTTGCGGCGCCTGCCAGTCCCGAGTAGGCCACGCGGCTGCTGGGCCCCCGCCCGCCGGCCCCCGGCCCCCGGCCCCCGGCTCCCCACTCGGTCCGCCAACTGACCTGGTGTCCCTGTCCTTGGCCGGCTGCGGCGGGTCGTAGGTTTAAGTAGCGCGCTGCGCAGCCCCGCGGACCTGGACTTTGGCCGGCTCGGCCCCCCGCCCCTCCTAAGGCTGCCTGTGGCGGGGGGGCGGGCACACCCCGCAGCTCCCGCCCCCCCACCCGGTTGCGACCCCTCCTCCACTGGCCCTCGAGCACTCACCGGGGCTGCCCTCACTGTCCCCTGGGAGATGAGAGCCGAGCAGCACAATAAAGGGTTATAGCTTGATGCGGGCTGGGATGGCAAAACGGGGGACACTGCCCTGGACTGCTCAGGGAAGGGCCCGAGGGAGGCCTGTGCGCAGGAGAAGGTGGCAGACATGCAAATTGCGGGGGTGGGAAGAGGGACCACCTGTGCAGGTGCCTGGAGACCAGAGGAGTCCTCAGTAATCCGGAAAAGGCTGGCGTAGTGGTGGAGGGGGGACAGCGGGAGGGAAGGGGTTTAGAAAAGTAGGTGGGATTTTAGCTGGTTGGGTCCCAAGAGAGCCCCCTTGGTAGCTAGGTGTCACATACCTGGGAGCCCTGGCAGTCCCTCTGCTTCCTGATTCCGGCCCACTTCTCTCCCCCTTGGCCCTCAGCACCTACCAGCCCAGAGCATTTGTGAGCTGCCACCGTGTGCCCACCCCTGTGCTGACTACAGCATCCCTAGGATGGGGCAGGCCCACCAAGAGACAGGAAGGATGCTGGCGCCTAGCTAGCTAGGTGCACTAGCTCTGTGGTTGCAGGCAACTTTCGTTTTCTCAAAAGTAAAAGGGAAATAGCTGCTGGTAAAACCCACTGCACAGGACCTGACCCGTGGGAAGTGCTTGAGAACCACTGGCCACGAACGGGCTGGGTGCACAGCAGGTGCTGCAGGGCTGGTTTGCCCACTGACCAGCCCGTCAGGGTGTCCAGGCAGGGCCTTCCGGAACCAGAGCCAATTCTGGAGAGCCCGCCAAGGGGGAGGGCCCCCAGGGAGCACTCCCCCCCCCCCCCACTACAGCCTGTTTCACCCAAGCCCCAGTTTTCTCCCCACCTACCAGGCCACTTTCCTCCCCCCCACCCCCCATTCTTTTATTAAGCCAGGAAAATTAGTTTTTGTGTGTTTGGTTTATCTGGGAACA